GAAAAAACTATTACAACCACTGTTGGCATCACAATGACTATAGTCTGCCAAAAGTATACAAAAATCCAGACAGAAAGAATTTGTTTACTTTACCATAAAGCTAAAAAGTTGAGCATGTGGACTGAATATGAGCACAGCTCCAACCTTATATTTTTTACAACCTTTGTGGTGGCCTCTGCAAGACAAATTTGCTTCATCAGTTTTTAAGCTCCACTGAAATTAAATCCGGATAACAGATACAGCGCATGTAATCATAACCAGCATCCTCACCAGAGCTGTTCCCGGCAAGGGAGTCAAATTTGATATCTGGCATATCTCCTGAAAGACCTCAGCTAATTGCAAAATACAAAATCCGCCCAAAGAGCCAAGGCATCCCCTCCCCAAACTGTGGTTACAGCAAGAAAAGAGGAGAGGCAACCACGAAGTGGTAATGATAGAACGGAAAAAAATGCTTCAAACAGCAAAAAGCAGAACTAAGCAGCAGAGAAACATAGACGTTAAGGTCCTCTCAGACTGAATTCTAGGAGTTATGGGAGGTTCTGATCTTGCATTGCATTAAGCTGAGAGTAGAGTCTCTGCAGGCTAATCTAAACATTACATAAGAGCTCCGATGACTACTTTAAAGGGGTATGTGAGTGTTTACACAGATGCAGCAACACAATAGACATATAGAGTAAAACAAAAGATGCTGGAGTCAAATGTGACTGAGTATAAATAAGGGTTTTTAGAGAAAATAACAGTAAAAGACTGCAGTTTTAAAATCATTTTATGTTGAGAAATGCTGGACTTGTAGCTGTTTTAGTGAAATTTTAAATATAAAGTGATACACAGTCTCATACTGCGAGTTGTCCTTGGATGTGATCTCAGCTACATCCACATCAAATTTTAATTCAATATCTGTAAATTTGACCAACCAATGCACACTTTGGCTCTGACTAAAGTCGCTCAGATGTGGCAGCCATCTTTAATGAACTGACTCCATCCATTGACTAAAGAATTTGCATTTCCTGAGAAAATGCAGTGTGAATGCTTCATAGAGAATTATTTTAAAAGGAATTTAGCTGAAAAATTCAAAAAAACAGCTGAAATTAGAAGCTGGATGAAGTGCAATAAGTTGAAATTGAAAAAAAAAGACAGAATTATGGCTTAAAATGTGGAAAAAAAATCTAAATTCAGCATAACAGAAGCCAAAGGAAGCTGAAACTAGCACAAAGTTAAAAACACAGAACCAGGACAAAAGGTAAGAAGTACAGTTCAGATTTAGTAACATTTTGAAGTTTTATGGATGTTGAAGACAGCTCCATTCATTTTCGATGAAAAAAAATGCAGAATAAGCTAGATATCTTGAAAAGAATAAATTGCTGAAGTACCAAAACTTGTAGCTGGAATGTCCTGAAGGAGCCGAACGTTTTGATATATAAATTGTTTAAATAAAATAAAAATTGCGGAGCGAGATACGTGCCAAATTATATACAAAAGAAAAAATATTTCAACACTTTACAGATTTTCTATATAAAATCTGTTCAGTGGTTTGTGAGAAATCATGGTAACAGACAAACGAATATGCAGAAACGTGCAAAAACACCATCACCCACTCTGTTGTCAGCAGGTGATTATAATGTTTATGAAACAATGTAATGAATAGTTAGTTTTTAGTTGTTTAAAAGCCAAAGTTTTAAATTAAAGAGGAACGTTGTCAGTGAGTTAAAGCACTCACTGCCAATGCACTTTGGAGAAAAGGGCACTCGCTTGTCAAACTGTAAATATCAGTCCCTCGTGACCCAGTAAAACAATGCGTCCTGCAGTGTGAGGAAGAATTCAGAGGAAAACTTCATTCGGGACCTCATTGTGTTCTAGATCCTGGCATTGTGGAAGAATTGATGTTTGCTCTACCCACAACACAAACTCACTACACTGCTTTTGTCGGAGTAAAAGTCAGCTCTCTGGAGAGCCAACTAGATCTCTGGAGACTAGAGAAAAGTTTTTATATAATAACCCACGGCGGCAACCAGGCTGAGCATGAAAATACAAACCACCTTTGTTTGCTCTGTTTTAGGCCTTCTTACTGGTAATTATCCTTGTGCTGCCAAAGACAAACAACGTGGGATGTTGCAGCACAACGCTGGATAAATCTAAAAGCCATGTAAAGCTAATCTGTCCGAATATAACTTTTGGCAGTCCAAAAAGAGAATCCTAAGCAACACTTTTCACATGCTTTGTGCAAAGATTGCAACCAGATCAACATATTTTTTGCATCAAACTGTGGGCCCTGTTGTCAATCCTTGGTCTGTGGCTGTAATAACTTGGTCTCAAAACCACAAAGTAAAGAAATCCGCAGCAGATTTTGAAGACAGTGTGGACACCACAGCAGTGTTAAACTCTCCAACTGCATCTGGTGCTACTCCAAACTCCACCCACATCTACTGTAGTCATGAAAGATATGACCACAACCTCCAACAATTATGTGAAGCAATGTGGTTTTATTAGCTTTCAGAGCCAGTAGGTTCAGTTCAGATGGTCAAGACTAAATTCATCTTAAAAACTGTGGCATTAAACTGATGTTTTTTTTCCAGCACAGCGTTAATATTATTTTTGTTAAATGAATGGAGGTTGGTACAAATAATCCAACTCTCTTCAGAAGTTGATAACTTTGGGGTCCCACAAAACAAAAGTCAAGAAGTCTAACTATTTTGATGAATTGCTACGTATTTATGCACAAATTTCTTGAGTAAAGTGCGCAGATAAATGTGCTTTGTTTACATTGAGTGCGTACCTGCTTTGCAAATTTGCATATTTAAAACTGCTGGGTTAAACTCTTTCAAGTTACATCATATGACATTCATTCAGAATAAACATTTTTATATTTGAGTTCGCAATGAGCACCTTTAATAAAAGATGCACCGCTTCTTCTATCAGACAAATCTTTAATCATTTGCAGTCTCAAATTAAGCAGAAAAGGGAACTCTCACAGGAAGAGATCATGAGTCCACAAATTAAAAATTCAGATTCCACAATTAATCACATTAAACAGTTATTAACACATCATGAATTCATACAGCGCAACAATACAAATTTGAAGTAATGAATCATGTAAAAAATGACATTTCATGCAAATAAGCAACATAAAACATGAATCATTACACAAAATAATAAAGTTTAAGAGAAGAAAATACTGGATCAAAAGGAATGACATGAATTTTATATGAATTCCAGCTGAGATTCTTGAGTTACAGTGGTCCAACTGATTTATGACAACAATAAAATGAGAAAACACTCAAGTGGGTTTATAATTTTATAGACACTGAGTTGTGTGCATAACAATAGTGATTCAGTATTCATAGTGTTTTCCTGTTTTAGCTAGCCCTTTTCTACTTTTAGCATATTGCTAGCCAATTTGCTACAGTTGGCTTTAGCTAATCTTTTGATGTTTTTAGCTAGTGCTCTACTTTCAGCTAACATTTTGCTTCTTTCAGCTTTTAGCTAACTGCTTCTTTTAGCTTTAACAATTCTGTTTCAGCTTATAGTCATTTTTTTCTAATTCCCAGACAACCCCCCCAAAAAACCAGTAATTTTGTCACAATATGTATGAATATGGATATGAATATGTTTTATATAACCAGTAGCAGACATATATATGCTATTTTAAGATTTTACTCTGTGTTTTAAAAAATTAACTGAATCATTTAGATTTTTGTTTGTTGGATAGACAGAATTTTCCAAAGTGTACGCCTCTAAATTAAGACCCTGTTTGAATGAGAGTGGTCCCTGGAAACGTTAGCGCTTCAAGATACAGTCAGGGGTATGAGAAACAAAGCATTTAATGAGGAATACAGGAACCTTTGTTTGAACCAAGGATGAGGTTGGGTTGCTCCTGCATGTTGAAAAGACTCAAAACAGACAAAAAGAACTTTACTTTCTGATTGTTTTTCTGATGCTTGTGCAGAAAAACTATTGACTGCAGCTGAGGGTGGAGCACACAGCAACGTTTTTTTATGCACAACAGGAAGTGCCTGGAAGGTTCCACTGTAAGACTGGGATTCAAAACGTTTCAGTGTCAGAGCCTGAAGGCTGTGGTCATGTAAATAAACAGCTGAGCTGCAACATAAATGTTACAGTTTCACTAAAAACCAGATATACTGTAAGTAAACGTCCCCTAAATCAAAATTGGAGCAGCTGCCAGGTTGGATAAAAAAAGATCTTCAACAAGCAGCTTCCTTTTGTAACCAGAAAATAACAGGTGCAAAGTGACAAAACCACAAAAAGTACAAAGTGGTGAATACACAAACAATCGACAGTAAAAAGTTGGTGCAAAGGTGTTGCATGTTGCTTGTTTCATTACATGCTGACAACGACCTTGAGCCAAAATGTGTTAATCTTTCGCATCCATAATGAATGAAAAAGGCTCCTTGAAGAGTAATGGTTATATAACTTGGTGTGTTTGACGCCCTTTCATAAATGCACACCCTCATTGAGTGTTGCTGTTGAAGCAACAGATACAGTTCAAGAAAAGTTTGAACTCCTGCTTCAACTTTTAAGATTAAATGAGTAAGAAAAAAATCCTTCACATTTATCATCCTAGAAAAATCAATATTTTCATTGAGCAGATGAGCAGAGCAGATTGGGGTAACTTATGAAAACAGTGTATAAAAGCCTCTATAGCCATTTTTATGGTTATTTTCAACATCACAGTCTCATTCCACCCAATCTGACAGGCTTGATGTATCTTTTTTAAAACTGAACTTGTCAGCACCTTCGTGAATACAAATCCTTCTTACTCACGACTCTGACATGCACTGTCTAGAAAGGACTGCAGGGAGAAAGAATGGAAAATCCCATGGCACGAGCAAACTAGGGATAGCCTGGCAGCACAATGTAATTAACCATCAGTAAATACCAGTAATTGCTGACAAAGATATTGCATGTGCTTGTCTCCGATTAGTCGAGTTATTTGCATGGATGTAACTGAACGTGTCACGTGTGCAACAGTAGCGTAAACTTACTTGCAGACGTCAGGCAGCACACAGCAAGAAGTGCCAAAGGAATGAGGAATCTTGGAGCCATGTGACTATTCTGCAGCTCCCAGTATGATGCAAAATGGGAAAACTCGTCCTTTTTTTTCAGGTTTCCACAGAGGTTTTCCTCCCTGTAAGCGGCTCTACAGGAAGTCACCTTCAAGCTCCAGCTGCAAAGTGAACAAAAATAGAAGACGTCAGCCAAAAAAGGAAGGTTAACCTGGAGCATGGACAAACAGCAGGGAGTGGAGCTCTGCTTAATATACGCTGAAGGAGTGATGAAATGAGACAAGAGGAGCGGCCATTTGCAGCGCCGCAGATTATTTTGGGAGGTTGATTCGGGGTCTTGCGTGCTTCAAAGAACCACGCTGCAAACACCTCCCCGAGTCGACCGCAGGTCAGAGTGTGTGACGAGGGCATGGACTGACTGAAGCGGGGGGTGTGAAGCACTTTGGAACATGTCACACTTTATTAAAACACATTAACTGAGAGCATCAGGAAACACAGTGACTCACTGTTGGGGTCTGAAGTAAGCAGCTTAATCTCCTCAAACCAATCAGCAGAAACCTGCCTGAAGCTTTAACTGTAGCCCCAAACACTGCTATCGATATATAAATACAACAATGATATACATTAAATAAACAAAAATATACATACTTTATATTTCAGAACACTGTTTTTCTTCAGACACAAGAAAATAACTCCTTGAAGAAATATTGCAAAGTTGTATCTGTTCTGGTTAAACTTTGTAAATACCATCATGTGCAATACTGCAATTTCTTCTATGACTCTCAGCTACTACCACATCAAATTCTAGCCTAAAATCTGTCACTTTGAATAGGTTACAACTATTTTTATGCTGGCTAAGATCAGTTAACTATGGCATCTATCTTGAATTGAATTTACTCCAAAAGCTGATCAGTTGTATAGATGTATACCAAATAATTACTTCCTGCCAGTTTCAATACAATCTGTCCAGTTGTTCATGAGATATTTTACTGACAGACAGGCAGAGTTGATTCCAACAGTATGGCTAGTGATGTGCAGATCGATACTGAAATAATCGATACTACCGATACCAGAACTTTATGCTCTAGAATCAATACTAAAAACAAAATATCGATACTTTAGTTATTTCACATAATGTGTATCATTAACAGGAAAATAGTGGAAAATAACGAAACTATTCAAATTATGTCTAACTCATATGTGGTTGGAGGAAACTACTTTTTCTTCTGCTTGAGTAATGCGTAAGCACAGTGGCACGTGTTCAGGCAGTCACTCAGTCTGTAGATGTACGGCAGGTCATTTTAACATAAAATCTGCTTTGTCTGAGTGACTGGAATTACATTCTAGATGAGGGGTTCCCGAACTTTTTCATGCCATGGCCCCACAAACAGCATTAGCTCTGGCCAAGGACCTTCTTGCAAACCCACAAACAATGCTACAAAATGTACAAAGTAACAACTTTTAGAATATTTTTCTCACTTTTATTCACTATTCAAAAATTATTATATTTCTTTAGAATAAGAATTTAAAATTGTGCTAAACAAATGTAGGTTTAGGTTTAGAAAGACTTTCAAATTAAATGAATTACTATGTCATGTATTATTTATAAAGCGGTTATTTGAATGACACTACTTTTTAAGATTTACCAGACGCATTATGTGTGTTATCACAAAGTATCAATATTGGATCAGTATCAAAGATACCAGCCACATTTTACTTGGTATCAGTAAGAAAATTGGCAGTATCGAACTAGTAATGGCAAAGTTTTAAAGAGATCTTGAATGATCACCCACGACTTGTTGTACGTGTTGGGAATGACTCTTGACTAATAACAAGGTTTTAACTCATTATATTTAAAACTTAGGTCTGAGGGATAATTCAATAATGATATATAACGCAACAGAAACATGTTCAATATCAATAGAAAACATGTCCATTATCAATAATAGTTATTAACTGCTAACAGGTAGATAATCTTCTGATAAAATAAGCTAGGAGCTTTCAGCTAAACAACACCAGGAAAGCTAAGATTCACCTTCAAAATAAAAGCTTCAAGATGTTAATGGACAACAAATGCCCTCTAAAAAACAACTCTTTCATTTAAAATGTGTAAGCTGGGGTTTCTTTCTCCGTCTTGTCGGCACATTCGAGTGATAGTGCGCTAGCCTGCTGGACCGGTCCACCATCGTAGGGTTAATATGAAGTTAATTATTGATTTATGATGTTGTTCCACACAAATGAGGCATCTAAAAACTGAAGGAGGCATCAATACGTTGCCCAAACAGCAAAACTCCTGCAACTAAACAAGGTAAGCTAGCAAAAACCTGTGGAGTAACGTGAAGTAGCAGTTTCCTGTTTCACCACCGTGCCTCACATCCTCTTAAAACTTAAAAAGAACGGCATGGAGGGAAAGGAGAAAATGAGGCAACAGCCCGAGTGGAAATTGTGGATAAAAGAGGAAAGTTCACGTCACCGGTTTGGCAGTTTTTGAGATACTTTAAGCTCGACAAGAGTCAGATCAGTGTTGTCTAAAACTAATCAATAATTACTGATATCGACTGATACGAAACGCTTATATCGTGATAAGTTTTTCAGCCATATAACCAGCTCTAGCCTGAGTCATATTTTGGTGTTTGATAAAGTTGCTTAGCAGTGGCGGCCATATTGAATGGGTTTACCTCCAAAAGTGAAGATGTACATCCAGTGATGAGTTTGTGAGTGTTAAATTAAAATCCAGCCATTGATGCATGAGAAATGTTTCTTAAACTACAAACAAACACACACAAGCAATAAACATTATTGTCTTCCCCTTTGGTGGCGGGAGACGAGCAACTCTGATGTCAATCTTTCTGCTACACAAACAATTTTCATCTGGTTTTAACCTCAATGGTATTTATTCTTGTTCTCAAAGCAAATAGTCACGCACTAACTTCAACTGAGGCTCCACATATTCTGCAACCACAAGCGAAACATTTTTTTACTTTAAAAAAAATGCGGTCGACCCAAAAACTCTTCCTCCGAGTGATATCTGATGTCTTCGAGACGACACAGGCTGTAATACCAGTCGAATGTGAAACCGGGTTGTGAAGATGCTGCGGCAGGAGCCCCACATGTTCACGTCTCAGAGGCCGTGTCTCTGAGCGGGCTGGAGGAGGCACACGTGCTTCTCTGTGACTCGCGGCGAACCGGAGACAGCGCGCATGGGAAGTGATGCACAAAGCGCCGAGGTGCAAGCAGCGTTCACAGAACAAAAAGGCCTTTCACTGCGCGGCAGCTGGAGGGGCTGGGGAGTCATTTAGGAAGATCTTTACAAATATTACACTTTCAGCTCAACAAACAAGTGCCCTCGGTTTGATTTACGATCCTCCTTGACTTTCACCTCTTGACTGACTAAACAAAAGTAAGCTGTGGCGTAATACCTTAGGGAAGGCAAACCAAATCAAAGAAAAGAGAAACACAACTTCTGCTGCACTTCTGATTGGAAAAACAGATCTAAAGAAATGAGAGGAATGGCATTCCTGTTACATCAAAAGATTTGAGCATTTCTTTTTTTGCCTGCTGCCAAAGTTGAAGCAGCTATACTGTTTTTATCCGTGTTTGCTTTGTTAGCAAAATATCTCTTCAAATCAGATTAGAATGAAACTCTGAGAAAGTAATCACTGGATGTGCCACTTTGGCTTGATCATTTTTGGCGGCAATAATATGGCAACCACAACCACTAAGCATCCTGAGCAAACACAAAAAATGGCTTACCAACATTTTTACAGATAATGAGCTAAAATTGGGTTTGACAGACTCTAAGCAGTAACACATCTCACAAGGTCTCACAAAATTATAAGGCTAATTACAACTCTGTCTCATAACATAACCTTCTATTAAACTCTGGGTGATATGCATCCTTTTAATGGTCTACAACCTACAGAACAACAAATCATTTCTTTTCAACTTTGACCGTTTAAGATGAACAACTGTTTTGGCCAAAGAAGATCTGGAAAGTCCATCAGAGCGTGCAGAAGCCTTGAACGGGGAGTACTGCATGTTGCTGAAACCAAGCTGCATATTTGTGGTGGTTTCAGTGTTGAGGCTTGACTTACATAAGTGTCATCAAGAATGCACTCACCACACTTCCATGTTTTTATGACCAGACTGTACTGACTTTGTTGCTGTCATCAGAAAGGCAGCCATCATCATCACAGCCGCTTTTGTTTTACCTCTACTGTCACATACTACTTTTAAACATAAACAAATGTGTTATCGTTCGTGCATACAATCAAATACAATTTTTATTATTCTGCTCGCAGAACTTTGGATCATAAACAGCAACAAAGATTTTAAGTCAAGGAAGTTAATCCAATCGGGGTGTAAGAAAATATTGATACACTGAAATATCGCGATATTTCATTTCCCGATACTGTGTCGATATTCTAAAGCCCTGTATCGATAATTAATTAAGGTTTATAAAGTCAACTTTCTTGCCAACCGTTCATTTTTATGTTGTAGTTCAGCCTCTGACCACTAGTTGGCAGCAGTGAGCCAGCCATTTGGCTCCTCTACCTCTTGAGCGCCAGAGAGTAAGAGAGCATTAGCATTGTGAGTAAACATTAGCTTTTCTTTTCTTTTTTTATTTCAGTAAGAGGTTTTTATTTAATAGAATTTTTGGACAAAAAAATCACAATATATCGCCTTGCTTACAGTATCGCAATATATTGGGATATATCGTATCGTGACCCCCTGTTATGATATGTATCGTATCGCCAAATTCTTGCCAATACACAGCCCTATAATCCAATGATTACTTTCTGGAAATCTCAGAGATTTTAACCGGTTCAAATCAAGTTTGAACAAATCACATATTGACACATGACTGCAATAAAGTTTAGGTTGAATTAGCGGAACTTTTTACCATTAGGTGAATTAACCCAGCTGGTTGAGTTTTCCAAATAAAAGCATCTGTTTGTTTTTTTTTAATCACCCACAGCTAACTTTATTTATGGTTTTGCTTGTGTAGAGTGTGCGCATGTATGTTTGTGGTTTCCAGCATAATATCTGAACCACTGGATGAGTTTTATTGAAACGTTCAGAAGCTAATAAGACGATGAAATTCTTCTATACCAGTGTTTCCCAAAGTTGGGGTCAGGACCCAAAGTGGGGTCCCGAAACGTCAAGGTGGGGTCCTGAAAAGATTTTCTGAATTAATTACATTTTTGCCTTAGTTGTTACAAAGGAGTGAGGTTAGTATATTTAAAATGGATAAATGTAGAATAATAAATATTATTACAATGCCCATGTTTTGTTGACCTGATACAAATGTTTGGAGGCACTCTTCTACTGTTTTGTACTATTTTGTGGGTCAAAAACTGAAAAGCTTGGGAACCACTGTTCTATAGGGCCCCCCGGTGCGACCATATGTTTGTGTTGGAATTCAAATAACACTAATCTGCAGACAATGAACTCTTACAGGCTTGCAACTTAGCACAAAAAGTCAGTAAATTAGAGTTTGGTAGATTATTTCCTTGTTGTAACAATGCTTCTTGATAATAAATCTTATACCGTTGGAAAGCCTGTTAATGTCTCTTTTAAATGGTGCCACATTTGTAAGGATCGTGCATTTGTGGGATGAGCAGTAGAGCTGAGTGTGTGGGTTGTGCACATGCGCAATTTGCCAAAGCTTCTCTGTGAAACAGATTATTCTGTTTTTGTTATTAATTGTTTTCAGCTTCCGGTCCCCTCAGGCGCTGCCAATCAGGTGCCCGCTATAAGGTTTATTGTCGAGAAAGTTACAACAAAGAAATAATCTACCAAACACTAATTCACTGGCTGTGCTGAGTTGTGTTTGTTGACAGATGAAGCAAAGCAGTGCAGCCATGCTGCTGCTCTGTCAGTCACGGTTCAGCCCAGCAGCAGCAGCAGCAAAGTTCACAAACCTCCATCCTCTTCTCTATAAACACTTACTGAATATTTACTCCAGAGTTTGTTTTTCCTCCGTTCACAAATAATAAAAAAAAACGAACAAACCGTGATAATGCGGACAAGTCAGAGACTGTAGATACAGATGTGAAATAACAGCATGTCAGCGGGTTCACAGCCAGATGTTCGGCTACATGAAGTTACAACAGCTAGCTAAAAAAGTATGTTTTAGTGGAAAGTGTTTTCATAAACTGGTCTACGAGATGAGAATAATTAACCGCTAAAGAAGAGAAAGAAGAAGAGGAGGAGGAGGAGGACTTACCATGAAGTGTCTTCAGAAGAAAAAAAACTTTGGTTAAAGTCGCTCCGCTGTGATGTGAATATAAAGCCGTCCCTTTACGGGAGGAGGGAAGACCGCTGCAATAAAAGCTGTCGCCTCGTAGGAGTGTAACAACAAACAGCCCCCGCTAAAGTTTTACCACTTCGAGAGCGACTATCTTCTTATCCTTTTTTTTTTTTTAACTGCGGGGCTTCGTGTAGAGAAGGGGCGGGGCTTGGAATGAGGGGGCGAGCTGAGCGCGAGGAGCTGCTACAAGGGAGCGCGCGGACCCGGTTGGGAAGAAGCACTGACAATCCGGGCACTTTGCAAAACCCATCATCAACATTTAATTAAAACCTACCTGTATTAGTTTAAATTGTCTCGTGCGCATGCGCAGAATCGTTGCAGCCTTCCACATCCTGCAGGGTTTGTTATATAGGTCAGCCTTATCACTGCGGGGAGATGCCTGCAAATATATCTGAGTGATCAACCGCCCTGCTGCAAACAAAACAATGCTGACTTGAAAGTCTTCTGAGTGATGAACATTCTGGAGATCTCAACTCTGACAGCTTTAAGAACAGGAGTAAATGTTTTATGTTGAAGTGATTTTTGTCCATGTCTTTGCCTGTGTCTGTTAGGAAAATATGTCTTCAACCACTGGACGCACTTTAATGTACCATGTAATAGTGCAGTTACAGCCTCATCAAATTTTATCTCAACCTCTGTAAAACTCACTGAATATATAGCATTTTATGTGTAAGCTGTGGCAGCCATGTCAATTGGGTTAATCAGATGTGGATATACATGCAATAGCCTGTATGCCACGGTCATTAGTGACGTATTTCCGGTAAAGTTCTTGCCACTCTCCTCCCTTCCAGGCTGTGTCCAAATCGACAGTCCGGGTCCTCCGGAGGACCCAGACTACCCTGTCGAGGTGGGCCGGGTCCTTGGTAGACCGGGAAGACCAGAAAAAAAGAGGCTGTGAATTTTGGATGGTCTAGCCTCCCCTCCACCCCGGCGTACGTCATGTCACCTAGCAACCATGACGATGCTAAACAGAAGCAAAAATAGATCAAAATTAGAAAAATATTGATATATTAGCATTATTAATATCACAAAACAATAAAATTAACTTAAAGGTAACATTTGAAGAACTAATTTACCCGCTGTAGGTGCATGTTTGTTTCGCGTTTTTTTATGATAAAAATAATATTTAAAAACATGTCTATACAAATGATAAAAGTATTACAATTGCAACTGCTAAAAAAATTCTTATGGATGTCAAATTTCTGTGCTAACTGTTCAAATGAGGTGAACTTATTGTCTATATAAAGATCATTTAGAGAAGTTATTCCCTTT